GGGTATTACATGCTTTTGTGTGTATGTGGCTGACATGGTATCTGAATCTGTGGCTATTTTTCAGTTTACTATTCATTCACGCGCTTAACGGAAGCGAAACACTTAAACAATACCGGGGTAATGTACTTTACAGCGCTGCGTCTTGGGCTCTCGCATTGGAGTTCGGGTCAGAGTGTTGAGAGCGGCCGCGTTTCGGTTTGATTCATGTCGGAAATGGCATAGAGCTCATCGGGGGCGTTGCGGCCAGCTAAAACTATTATATACATATATATATTTTTTGTTTGGTTTTGTGGTTTCTCTAAGTGCTCGGCATCATTGGATGAATTTGTAATAACAAAGTTTTATGGCCAACAATTGGAGTTACAGGCAAATGAGTCTAACTTTTGAAATGTACATATATTAAGTACACAGTTTAAATATTTTGTTTATGAATATTTTTTATATTTTTATTTGTTGTTTCTCGAACTGGCTAATAAAAATACGTTTATATATATTTTGCAAATGCTTATGCATGAAAGTGTCAAAGTTTTAAGCTGGAATTCTTTCTACTAAGATTGGAAACATACGACTTTTTAAGATATTTTCATATAGATTTTGTAAGCTTTTCACATATTGAGTGTTAGCTCAAAGTAATAGAGTTTCCATTGTTTATATATTAACTTGGATGCCATGCCTTTCTTAATTTTTATTGAGATGAGTATTCATATTAAGTAAACTGAAATTTAGTATAATAGTATTTACTATATGTTTGTTATATTGCATTTTGGATACTATTCGCCATACTACTATTCTGCGTCTCATTATTCAATATAGTATCACTAATTATGCAACTTTTTATGCGGCCCTCGCTCTTTATAGATTTTCCCAATTTGTCGTAATTATCATACGGCTTATGCATGTATATGTATAGGTATGTAGAGTGTATGCCTTATTCGGTGTGCCACTTATATAATACGATTTAACAATTTTGGTGCTGAGCTCAGAGCTTGTTTTGGTTTTAAGGGAATCAAAAATGTTATATGAATACCCTGTACACATTGAGTATGGCAAAGCGAGGTTGATATGTATATAGATATCTATGTAAATATGCTTCATAACTATGGTAAGTTATAGGAAATATATATGTGTGTATGTATGTATACAAGATACAATCTATAATTAGTATGATTTATTAATAATTCTTAAATACTGTAAAATAAACAAAAATTTCAAAATATAATGGTAAATATTCGATTTCTTCAGCATATCTTGAAGATTTATAATGTACATTAAGCAACAAAGTTATAAGAGCATAATAATCTGCATTTGATGTAGAGCAAACGAAAGTAAATTCAATGATACTTAAGTGAATTGCTCATATCCATTATCTGGCTTGGATGTAAATATTATTTAAAAAATCCTCTTTTAACACAGGGTATCTTTTAGTCTCTTCCACTTAGCCCACTCATTTGCTGGACTACAGCTGGACTCTACTTTTTATTTTTACATCACTTTTTATTTAGCCGCTGCGCGAAACTCGTGGAGCTTGAGCTGGCTAACTGTGCCGTGTTGTCGGCGTATTTTGTCTGCCTTTTTGTCTCTTTTGGCGCAATTCACAGTTTCGAGTTGTTCTAATTTCAATTGCTGTTGCCGCTGTTGTCGCTGCCGCTGCCGCTGCCGCTGCCGATGTCGACGTCGTCGTTTAACCTGTTCCCACATTTTCTTTTGTGTTTATGTCACGTTTTGTTAGACGCCAAACAGGTTCCTTCAGCTCCACTCTTCGCCCAAAATGGCAAAAATAATTTCGCTTTTTTCTTATTTTTTTTTTCCATTTTCATTTTGTTGTTGTTTTCGAAATGCAATTGGATTTCATTGGAGAGGTCTCACATGATTGCATCGCGTTGGGTTTTGAGTGTGTGCTAAATGTCGGCTTCAGGCAGTTGATATCAACTTAATTAACTCGCATAAGCAAGCATGTATATTATACATACATACATATATATGTATGTCTGTATATATTTATATTGCTGCCTTGAGCTGCACCCTATATATGGTCAATGTATAAGCTTGAATTATCATATGGCAATTGAACTTATCCCATATATGGAGAGTGTATCAAGCGAGTGCTTCAAGAGATTGCTTCAAGAGAGTGTCTCACTTGGCAATAGCTGAAAGGCTTCATCAAGAAGCTTAAAAAACGAACGCGAACATTCAACTTAGCTACAAATCAATCACAGAATTCTCAGAATCAAAAAAGAAATAAATAAAATAAAAGGCATGTCGAAACTTGAATACACTCAAAACATTTTGTATGCGCAACTTTTTGGCTACTGATTGCTTTTAAGATAAACATATAACGGAATAAAATGAAGCGATTCTTATATCTATTTGTAGTTGTGTGATGGGAATAAAAAAGTTCGTTGGAGTTGGTTTGAAGATAGATAAATAAATATATTTTTGACTAATCCTAAGAGACAAGTTGTTTTATGTATAATCAATAAGAACCATAGTTTTTTATCTAAGATAAGAACTTTTATTGACATAATCGTAGCAACAGATACAAATGTTATAGTCAGGCTTTACCGACCGCATAATACTCTTTCATGATGCATACTCTGTTGAAACATATCTAATAATAGTCAGAAAGCCAATAGGCTCTCTTCTCAAAGTCAAAGAGTAGCGCAAGTTTTTATATATACTATATTTAAGCTACATATATATCTCATAATAATCATTCATGTCAGATTAAAATTTTTTTGAGCATTTAGTTGTCTAAATATTGATATCTATAAGCACAATTACTAATTTCTATATTGTAAAACCCGCACAGCTTTGCCTAAATAAATCTATATGCAAAATCGCGCGATCTCATAAGCATTTCCAATCACGTGTTGCGCACTCTTCCACATAGTGCTAGTGCCCGCTATAAGACTATCTACACTACTGCTCTATAGATTTACCTTTTGCAGCTGGTCGGCTTGACAGCTAGTCAAGGTGAGCCATCGGAAATGAGGCAGTAAATAAGTGCTTGCAAATGTGTCACCCGGCATTAGGGTGGCTCGAATGAACTTTTGTCAATGGAAACCACTTCAATTGTAATTGAGATACCCAGTTTGTCAGGTTGGGTCAAGTTGAAAAACAAGTGTGAATCCTCGCATAGGCATTCGGCAAATATGGACAACATTCAACATTGCATCACCCTGGTGTGGAGCTGCGAGATGTTGGCAATGCGTGCGTAGGTCGACGGATATCTCGACAATCTCGGCTTGAATTTATTTTATTTTTTATGCCATTCAGTTTACGTGTTGTATATTTTTTTTCTGCTGTCACGGTACGAGAGACCAGAAAGAACAGTTATTTTCGTAAGCTAAAGATTTGCATGCTGCGTGGGATTTAGTTATCTAATGTCAAGCAAAAGCTTGTTTGCATGTGTGTGTGTAAGGGTATTAGAGATGGAATGCCAAAATAGTATTCCGAAGTGTTTGTTCTTATTGTATATAAAATATAAATTGTATACAAGTCAATGTTGAAGTCGAAGAATAAATAAATAAATATATGAAATGCTTATATGCCAAATATATCTTATATATAACTAATGAAAAATATTTGTTTTGTTTATTTATTTGTATAAAAATAATGAAGTATACAAAATATCTCTATGGTAGCTTGTTGCTAAATTGATTAATTCACATAGTTAATATATTATTATTATATATGATATCAGAGCTATTAATTTTTTGACATATTTATAATTATCTATCGCTTGAGGAACAGAGCGCTTTGAACAGTCATTGCAAAGTATATTTATTTTCGATCAACAAAAACGAATGAGTCAACATTTTAAAATATTTTCATCTAGAATAAATATGTGCTGAATGTGATTCATAGGGTATGTTTTGTCGGAGCTGAGATTACTAAAGGTGGCCTATCCATTCTATTGTTGATTGTTTAGTTAAAGTGTTTATTGATTAACTATAATCTAGATAAATTGACTCTCAGCAAAGTCCAGGGTATCTGCTGAGCAGACACTCAATCAACATCTACCCTGGAAGCTGTGGGTCCATGTATTCAATGCTAATTTCCTCTTTGATTACAAACTTGTTAATTATATGGCATGGCATGGATAATGAGCGATGTTCGAGCTGCCGGCATGGCAAATAATTTTGGGTTTGTTGCTTAAGTCTTTTGTTTTGAGCTATTTTCTTGTCGTTTCGACTCGCTTAAGTGGCGTGATGTCATTTTCAATGTTATTTGTATATAATTTGTGTGCAACATATTTGTCACACTCGTTGTCAGCTGTATACTGTGTAGGAGTCTATATAGAGAGATGTGTGTTTGGGCGTCTCTCTCAGTCTATCTTTCTCTCTCTGTGTGTGTGTGTGATTGTGTTTGTGTGATATTTACTAACCCCTGAGCAGCTGTCAGCGTCAAAAGTAAACAAGTTGCGAGCGTGAAAACAAAATAAATGCGTTGCGAGCACATTTTGCTATATTTATATAAATTTGCTTAAAAGCAATATTTAATTATTGCTTAATTAGGATAACTTTTATAATTTTATTTATTTATTATAATAGCACTCATTATTCACATTCGATTTATTATTGCACTGTTTTTTTATTCGACTGTCTTTTTTCGGGTTTGATTCGTCTTTCCGTGTGGGCAGTCGACAATCTTTGCTCTCGAGCCGCGCGTCCCGCCACAAAGCTTGATTTTGGCCAGTGGTTGTTGCTGCTGTTGTTTGTTGCTTGTTGCTTCACTTGTTTAACCAGCACCAGACGCTCAAGATTCGCGATTGCGCTAACGGCCAAGCTCACGTTTATTTTGTTGCTTTGCTTTTGTTTTTGTTTCGTTTTTCACTTTCGTTTCGAGGCGCTGCCACCTGTTGAGCGTTCGCGCTGTTGCCCGCTCGTAAGCTCGTTCTCAACTGATTTTTCGGCTAACGCTTACAGCTGGTATTGGCCACAGTTGAAGCCAGCAGCGAAGCTTTCAAGTGGGCCACAGAGCTTGTTGCAGTTGTGTGGTTGTTGTCCCCGCTGAGTGTGAGTCATGGACTACGAAAGGGGTTGAAGGTGTCTTGGCTAAATGTTGTAGCAAGTTGTGCTATAATTAAATATGTAAATTTAATGAAAATACTAAGAATGAATGAGGTTTAGTTTATAATTGGGGTTTGAAAAATAAGCTCTCTCACTTGACCTCTTTTATTAATTTTTGTTGTTTATTTAAAAAAAATAGTATTACTTTGAAATGCCAGATTAATGCAAATTATAATAACTGAAATCAGTCTCTCTTGCTCTAACCATATTTTTCAAAAGGCTGAATATGTGGTTTGTGTCTTTGCTTTGCTGAATTAATAGACATTTTATAATTTTCAAGCAAAGGCGTTGCCAGACATTAGCATAACAATCAAATGTTCTTTAGTACATCAAATTGCCGTTAGGGGCGTCGTTCAATTTTTGAAAAGTTTGGCATTAGCTATAACTTTTAACCAAAATAATGCAATGCTTTGTTGATTATGATTACCAATAATTATGGCATTAAAATTTAATATCAGTTTCAAATCAATAACTTAATGCCTTAACAACAAAATGTTAAAGTTCCAAGATATCTAATGTGAGACGGTAATCGTGCTGAAATGCGATAGAGTGTCTGAGAGAGATTGTGAGAAAGAGAGAGAGACAGAAAGAGAGAGAGGGAGATAGAGAGAGTGAAAGACAGCTCTTGTTTAATTCCCTGGAGATGCCTATCTTTTAATTCAATCAATTCAGCATAAGCATAAACTTTTTTCCAGTGCATTTGATACTAAATGGCCGACAGACTCACATACATATATACACACACACACGTAAATAAAGAGAAATACAATCGCGTCGCATATTCTAACATCAATATTGCAATACCATTTGACATTTGTTATGGCAATGGGCGCAAAACGATGCCGACTGCAGAGCAAAATAACGGATGTTCACTGAATGCTGGACAGCATGGGAAGGAGGAGGAAGAGCAGAAGCAGGCCAATATGAGGTAGGCGGAGGGGCGTGGCTGGACAGAGACCCCAATGTAACCGGTCAAACGGAGTGATTTTTATTGGCTTGTTGCTTTTTCGATTCACTGATAAATTGTTAATGTCACGCCACGCACACACACACACACACACATAGAGAGAGAGAGAGAGAGAGAGGCACACACATACACATATACAGATGTTTGCTCGTAAAATGCAATGTTACAAATTTATTATTTATGTGACGCTAAGCTTTGTGCGCATACAGCGAACTCCGCATAGAGCAAATGTAGCTGTCGAGAGACAAATGAATATATGTATTTGTATATACATACATATATGTATATGTATGTATGTGTTTGTATATCGCCTTTTTGGATGTCTAAAAATGTTGTGCCCCATAAAATTGCATTTGATGTGTGCACCGAATATTCCCAACCAACAATTACAACAGCAACACCAACAACAATAACAACAACAACAGCAATGATAATAATTGTAATAATTGGTTATGGGTGGTGTGTGCACAGTGGAGCTTCAATAAATCAAACAGTTGCTATGACTATACAAGTGCCAATACACTGAGAAAAATTGGGACTAGCAAACAGTAAAATAAAATGGTAAACAAGTCCAAGAATCATGTTTATGATCTAACTATGTGAGGGGAATCTTGTGGGTAGTGCTCGACTAGAAGATATTTAGCATATCGAACAGTGGATGGTTTCATTCCCATCCGATTGAAAAACAAATAATAATAATAATAATACAAAAATATAATATAAAATATACCTTAAACAAAAATACAAAAAATTTGATAAGTCGAGCTCCAATAATTTACCCATATTTTGCGTTTTCAGTTGATGCATTTTCAATTCATACAAAATTCCTCATAAATAGTCATGCATAATTTCGTGCAGTGTATTTACTGGCAACATGTTTACTGTTAGGCGGCTGGCAATTAATGCAGCTGCCAAAACAAGCAAACGACCCTAGTGCAATTCGCACTTTAATTAATTAGACATTCATTTTCAGCAGCAACAACAACTGCAGGAGGTGGGCAGCAGCAGGAGCAGCGGTACAGCAGCCCCTGGAGCTGCAACCTTTAGTCCTGGCCCTGCCAAACTGGCCAACAATTTAACTATCCACCTGTCTGCCTGTCTGTCTGTCTGTCTCTTTGTCTTTCTGTCCGTTTGTCGCTTTGTAATGCGCACCGAGTTTGTCCCCATTGGAATCAGTGACTCTGCCGACGTCGACGTCGACATTGGTGGCAGCCATTATGCTTCGCAGGCGTAATAAATTAGCACAAACATGCCACTAAAATGGCACGCCCATTCCGCCCACCAGCGGCAGTGACCTGCACGGCAACAGTAAAATGCTGTCAATGCAGTTCACATGCCAATGCAATTCCGTTTTCGATGCAATGGCAACAGCACCTCCGGGATTTCAACTGGGATTTGCGCACAATGTGTTTAGTGCCCAAACAACTCCGCATAGACCTAACTCAGCCTTGATGAGCTCCCCCTCCAGCCAAATTGCATCAAATGGAATATCTGCAACCAGACGCAGGGCCAATGCCAAGACATTTGAATGCGGCGACTGCTGAAGAAAGCCTCATGAAATTTCAGTTGGGGAATATTACGCAAATATTATTGGAAATACATTTTTTTTTAAATTTATTTATTGAGGAATCTCAATTATCTCAGAAATAGGCTATTAGTACTTCTTTAAAAGTAACTAGACTTAAAACAAATTTTCAGGGAAAATATTGAGATATTAACATTTTTTAGTCAAAGAAGGGGCTTAATAAGTTCGTTAATTTGAATTGTGTTTTTAACTTTAGGGCTAATATGTTGACTAGAAAGAAATAATATTGTAGTAAAATTTAGTAAATTATTATAATTTTTTTTTCCAGATTTTTGTCGACTTGAACTTTGATATGAAATGGTTTTGATATGTAAATTTATAGTATATCAAAAAAATTTGTTATATTTAATTTATTTTATTATTTGTCATATTTTAATTCCTGTTATTCTAACATTTTAAACATTTAAACATTTTAAAAATTGATAAAAATAAATTTGTGACCTTGACATAAATACATTGTGTATATTCTCCACGCTTGCAAGCATTTGTTGTAGATTGATTATAAAAAAAATAATATATATATTTCACAAATGTATATGATTTACCCCGTCAAAATAGTTTTCTATAATCAAGCTAGATTATGTGGCTTATTCATCAGATTTTCAAGGCTTTTGCAGCTCCTATTCGACTGATCCAAGTGGTTAAGCAACATTGTTCCAGCGTGGGAATTGCTTGCAGAAATTAAAGTTTAAAGGTCATGCGAGGCGTGCGGCAGCTACATTGTTGCACAGTTCTCCCAAGACTAAGTGCGAAGAGAGAGCAAGCATGAGTGTGTAAGATAGAGAGAGAGACAGATAAAGAGAGAGAGAGAGAGAGAGAGAGAGAGGGAGAGAGAGAGTCCTACGGCTTTATCATCGACTTCGATTGAAGGCATGGCAGTTGGGGCAGATGGGCAGATGTGGTATGTGGCATGTGCGGTACGAGCTGCCAGATAGTTTTTGCTTGCCTCTCTCTCTCTTTGTCTTTTGTTGCTTGCGCACTTTTCATCTTGGCGCTGCATACGAAATTTATGGGTTTTATTATGTGATTTATGCAATGCGCGCTGTCCGCGACGGGGCACGCAACGCGCAATGCGACGCACAGTGCGGCGTGCGGATTTTTACGCCGGAAATGTGCCCATCGACTGCGTGTTAAGTCTCACACACACACGCACACACACACACTCACGCGTACAGAGACACACAGCCCTCACCCTGTATGGGAGAAGGGGTCGCGGGTGCATAAGTGTTTTTTATTATTGCCCGCCAGTTTTTATTGCGACGAGCGCGCTTCGTGTTTTACTTATTTAATTTCTCAGCTGCTATCGGCTGCCCGACCGGCATTGTCCTTGTCACTGGCAGGACACAGAGGACACGCACGTGAACGCCGGACACATTGATATAGAGCTCGCGGTGCGACGGTAATGTGCGGCACCTCCCCCTTCCTCGACTGCTTTAACACACCCCCTCACCCACTCTCCATCTACATCTCACTCTCTCTCTCTCTCTCTCTCTTGCATTGCATTATACGCATTTCAGGGCCCCAATAACGGTATCTAACCGAAAACGTGCTATAAATTCCAATCAGAGTCGCCACAGTGTCGCGCATTGCGGCCCATTGTCAATCAACACGCACACACACTCACGCACACACAGACACGCTCACGCATACACTCACGCACACAGAGTAGCCTGAGCGTATTTACATTTCCGGTCGAGTCATGCGAGCTGCTGGCAAAGGGCACAGGTGCAAACATGTGACTCATAGAGCTGGCAGCAGTCGCGTGTCGTGACACGACATGTGCATGCTGTAAGGGTATAAATAATCGGCATACTTCTGCATGGCATGCTGAATTGCATTCTTGATGCCAAATAAAAATTTCTATTAAGCTGATATTTTA